AAAAAAAAAAAAAAAAAAAAAAAGGCGCTTATATCTGTGGAGCACCTACATATGCTACACACTACCACATACTTCACAGCATCTTATGTAATCCTTACAATCCTATATGAAGTTATATTATCCTGCTAAAGCTCAGCGAGTAACCAGCTCAGAAAAACCATACTAAATGAATCAAAATAGTCACAATGGAACTCATTCCTATTTGGAAATGATTGTTTTAAATGATTAGTCAGGCTGAGCACTGTGGCTCATGCCTATGATCCTAGCATTTAAGGAGGCCAAAGTGAGAGGATCACTTGAGGCCAAGAGTTTGGGACCAGCCTGGACAACAAAGTAAGACCGTATCTCTACAAAAAATGACTAAATAATGCTTTTTCTTTTCCAGCCAGTAGAAAGACCAGGTATGAAAAAAGCACAGGCCAGGCATGATGCCTTATGCCCGTAATCCTAGCACTTTAGGAGATCACTTGAGGTGAGAGGATCACTTTGAGGCCTGAGCAAGAGCATGACTCCATCTCTACAAAAAACAGAAAAGTTAGCTGGGCATGGTGGTGGAGCACCTGTAGTCCTAGCTACTCAGGAGGATGAAGCAGGAGGATTGCATGACCTAGGAGTTCAAGGCTACAGTGAGCTATGATGAGACCACTGCACACTTGCCTGGTTGACAACGCAAAACTATGTCAAAAAAAATTTTAAAAGCACAGAACTAAAGTATTGTCAAAAATTCTTTGATCTCTTCAGCATGTCTTGCCTTCCCCCTCCTCTGCAGCAATCCACCATCTCTAACCCTGCCAGTTCTCACTTCGCCTAAGTGATCCGAGCTCAAAATCCAGCAACCTCCCACTTTCACCGAGGGTCTCCTCTTCTAGTTCCACCCCTTCCGTGTCTGGCTTAGACCCTCTCTATCTGTAGTGAGTCTAACTATGGGTGTCGCTTCAACTCTCCAACCAGCGTCATGCTCCCCACCTCTTGGTCCTGTTGCAACAAACCACTAACTCCCAACCTCTCTGCCAATTCCTTCTAAGATGTTAAATGTTGCCAAGAAAAATCATGCAGCTATGTATGGCAATGCCAGAAACTTCGAGTTTCCGATTTCAGCTGGGACCTCAGCTCTGGCATCCAGTGACCTCCTTATTGCCAAATCCCTCTCTTCCCAGTCCTCACCTTCCCACCCCATCTGGCACTGCTCTCTAGTATGTTCCTCTCAAAACCCTTCATTTCAGAGGTTGCAAATTAGCAGCCCAGTATGGGGATCCTGCCACAGACACATTTTGTTTGGCTCTCAAAGAGCTGGGCTTTTCCTTCTCGTTTTACTTAGTTGCCAGTATTTAACATTCAGTAAGTTTCTAAGCTTTCTCTTGAAAAACTGAAAGATGTGACAATACAGGCCCACCCTTCACTAACCCACATTGCCTACCTGGGTGCCAGAAAGCTAGCCCCCACCCCCAACCCCATTCTCATTTTATTCCATCGGTTTTTGAAAGCTTTCTTCCCAATGTTTATACCCTCTGATTTCTCTGTCCTGCAACTCTTCCTCCACCCACTTGTAAAACCCTGGTGTTTCCAAGTGTCCCTCCTTAGGAATTTTCCATGCACACTATGTAGCCCCTATATGCTGAAGTCTCCACTCTGGATAAAAAGTTGGCAATCTTTTATCTGTGCCCAACAATGTCTTAAATGTTTTGGACCGAAAATCCAAAGGTCTGGAACCCTATGCGTCCCCTCTCAGAGCCTCCCCCAGGGCCTCCTGCATCTGTCACCCCATTCTCCATGGAACCCCCCTGGGCCTGGGCACCGGCAAACCCTCAGTACGGTAGGGTTTCCTGGCTGGAGGCCCAGAAGCGTCCACGGACCCGCATGCGTTGCCTGGGAGGTAACGCGACGCCTCTAGAGGATTCCCACAAACTGAAGACACCCCACACCTGCGGCCACCGTAAAGACAGGTGGTCAGGCAAACTCAGGTCACCTTAGAGGGCCGGGGCCACTCACCTAGGCTGGGGAGGGGCAGCTCACCTGGACCGGGGCGGGGCCGCAGGCGGGTGGGGCGGGGCCACACCTGAGCTGCTCCAACCCGCGGCCGACACCACCGACACCGCCTCGCTCTGCAGCAGCTGCTGACGCGGAGACCGCGGCCTCCCGAGCGCCCCGAGCCCCGCCCCCGGCCCGCGGGCACTTCCGGGACCTCTCTAGGCCGCGCGGAGGTCCCGACGTCTCGGTGGTCCCGTTGTGCCAGGTGTCGCCATGGTTAGCTGTCCGGCCTTGGGGCGTTAAGATCCGGAGCTGCAGTCTCTTCGGTCGGCATCAGGGCTCCGGACATCCGCACAGTGCGTCCTGGCCGTAAGGAATACAGAGCTGGGCAGGCGCTGCTGGGAGTCCAGAGAAGGAAACTGAGGCCAGGAGGGACGGGCCGGCCTAGGGCTGCAGGCGTTCGCTGTACCTACCCTGGGATTGGGTGCGAGCCAGCGGCCACCAAGGCTTCTGGGGTCTTCAAGAGAAGGGGAAGGAAGTCACCAAGTTGTCGACTTGGCCTTCCTTCACAGGCCCGAGGGTCCTGTTAGGATTCACCAGCCCCCTCCTTCAAGGGCAGCCTGAGTTCTGCCTAACCTCCCTCTCGGTCCCTGCAGAGATGTAGATGAGAGTAACGGGCGGGCGAAAGCCCAGGATATGGCTGAGAGTGTCGGCGGGACCCTCTCAGGACCTGGGGGCCCCCCAACTCTGTGCAGCCGAGGGCTGACCTGCAGACATTAGGCGCCTCATAGGAGCACCGGGAGGGAAAAGGAATGTTCCCCACTTCCCGTCACTCAGCGCTGCTTCTGATGGCAATCCTTATCCCTGCACCCGGTGCTCTGGAGCTTGGCACCTGCCCAGCCCGGAAGAGAGCTTCCCTAAGAAGGCAAATAGAACACACCTCCCAGTGGAGGGACCCTGCCCCAGCCCTCTACCCAACTGTCCTCAGCACCCTCAGCCCTGTTCCTTGGGTGCCTCCAAGGACCCCCTCACGTGCTACCCACAAATGTCCCAGCATTTGTTGTATTTCTCCTTGCCCCAGCACTGCTCTCTTCCGCCTTGGGCAGAGACGCCAAGGGATCGGTAGGGGCTGCCCCTCCGACCACTCCAAAACTATGACGGTTGGACCACAACCAGCCATGCAGATCTGTAGGTGGCAAGGGCTGATTCCTTTTTCTCTCTCTGCAGCTCCTCAGGTCACAAGAAGGCCAGGCCACCAATCTGAGCCCCTGGGGGCCAGAGGGGAGGCTGGGTCACGCCCCAAGGATCTCAGGTGCTTCCTCTAGCAATAATCACCAGAACCCCCTACCCCCCACACTCCTAGACCAACCATAGTCACTTTGTTCAACCAGATCTCATGGCCTTCACAACAGCTTATGTTGACATGTTGGATGTTATTAACCCATTTTACAGAGGAGAAAGAGCAAGGGTCAGAGAAAGTTAAAGAGGGGTCCAAGGTCAGGGGCAAATAGGAGGTCCCCATCTCACACCCCACCCCTAGGGACCAGAGCTGAAGCCAACAGCGCAGTAATAATCTGCATCATCCTCAGGCTGCACGGGGCTGATGGTCAGGATACAGGCATTGTGTGCCACATCCATAGCTGCTGAGAATCGGTCAGGGATTTCATCAGGCCGGTGGTACTCCTCATCTGAGTGGTAGTAAAGGAGATAGCGGGGGGCACTGCCTGGCCGCTGCTGGTACCAGGAGACACCATGGTCCCTGATGGTGTGCTGGGTGCTGAGCATGCAGGACAGTTGAGCCACTTGGCCTGGGAAGACCAGTAGTGCATCTGACTGCGCCAGGGCTGGCTGGGAAACTAAGAGACACAGACCCAGTCAGTGCTTCTCCGCCCGCTCCCCCATGAAGGCTCAGTCAGATGCCAAGGAGACATCCACTACCAAAGGCCAATGTCATAGGGTTGGCAATGGATGGGGTGCAAGAGACCTGGCTCTGTGTGACTTTGGGTGCCCTCTTTGGGCCTCTGTTTCCCTCTGAGTGAGCAGTTTGGAGCTGGCAACTGAAAGGTATAAATGGTATTGCCCAGAGACAAGGCCGCAGAGATGTTCAGGCCAGATTTAAACCCAATTCCTGCTGTCCCTGAACCCTCTCCCAATATACCCAAGCCCACACAGCCCTACCAACACCCAACTCATCCCACTGAGGACAACTCCTGCTCTGTCCAGCCAGAAGCAGTTTCTGAAGACAGACCATCGCCCCCATCACCCCTTTTAACAAGAGTTGGGAATGTTAGGGGCCTAACACAGCCACACGCAAACTCTTTTTCCTCCCCTCCTCTCCTCCTAAGACAAAGACACAAAGGATCTGGCTAGCCTCACCCCCCAGAAGTTCTCCCAAAAGACCCTAACCTGACAGGCAATTTATAGAATGTGCCCACCACCCACAGCCCCATAAAAAAGTGGTCTCTAACTGTCCCTGGGGGCAGATGTCATTTTTGTACTACCCATGTGGGTCACCCTCCCCTTTCAATAAACCTGGCCCAAACATATCCGTGGCCTCCCCTCTGGGTGCCACTGTTTATACCTTTTAGCAACTGCCAAGTCCCTGTTCCTGCCACATACCCAAGGATCCATGTCAATTGAAGGCCCAGAGCTCAGAGGGTAGAACTGGCAGCCACTGGGTCCTGTTGCCTGCCCAACTTTCTCTACAGACCACCCCCCAATCACACCAGCTGCTAGAGACCCTCTCAGGGTTAGCTTGCCTCTGAGGCACACCACCTTCCTCTGTGAAGAACTAAGGAGACCAAAAAATCTGAGTCCAAAGGGGCCCTGGTGGTCTGGTCATTCACAAATAGGGAAACCAAGGTCTACACAGTGAAGTGACTTGCCTCAGGTCAGGGGCAGAACTTCCTGCAGTCCTGCTCTTGGGGCCCTTCCCACCATCTCCACCAATTTGCTCCTTTGCAGGGACATTCTGGGGCCAGTACTGTCTCCCACTCTACACCCTTGTGAGCCCGGCCCAGGGAGAATTCACCTGTCATAAAGTTCCCCATCAGAAGGAGGGCCAGGCACAAGCAGGCCATGGCCAGAGGCAGGAAGGCAGGCAGGGGAGTGGTTCTGCCAGGCTGCAGGCTGTGCTCCAAGTGCCTGGGGGCACAGGGCTGGGGAGGCCACTGGACCAAAACAGGGCATGCAAATCAGCCCTGGGACTGCAGAGGGAGGGGTGGTGTCTGGGCCCAATGGCCAAACCCTATCTGCAGAAATGTCAGGTCCTAGCCCCACGAGGCCTATGGAGAATAGAAGCCCAGAAGGCCGCACTTGCCCTTGCAGCAGGGGGTTGGAATCTGCTTTTATTGAGATGCAACTGGCATACAGTAAAGTGTGCACATCTTTAGTATATAGCTTGGTGATTTCACGTATACATGTATGAACAGCCCACCACAACCTCCACCCAGATGAAGATTTAGAATGTTTCCATATCCCCAGAAGGCTCCCTCGTGTACTTCTCAGTTAGTAATAACCCTCCAGGGAACCATCATTCTGATTTCTGTCGCTTAGATTACTTTTTACCTTGCTCTAGAACTTCAACTATAAATGTATCCTCTCTTGTGCCTGCTTCTTTTGCTCGGCATCGTAAGAGTCATCACTGTGTATGCAGCAATAGTTAGTTCATTCCCACAGCTGTGTGTAATCCACTATGTGAACACACCACAATTATTTTATTGATTCTCCTGTTATTAGATGTTGGGGTGCTTTCTGCTCTTTGGCCATTATAAATAAAACAGTTATGGAGATGTTGTTTGCTGAGAGTCAGCCCTCTGATACCTCACCACGCCAGACTGCCCCAAGGCTCCCACCGCCTCTCCTCTACCACTGCTATGATGACCACATTCCCCTCACAGGTGTGCCAGAACTACCTCCAGAACTCAGAGGCCACCATCAACCGCCAGATCAACCTGGAGCTCTACGCCTCCTACATCTGCCTGTCCATGTCTTACTACTTTGACCGCGATGATGCGGCTTTGCAGAATTTTGCCAAATACTTTCTTCACCAGTCTCATGAGGAGAGGGAACATGCTGAGAAACTGATGAAGCTGCAGAATCAAAGAGGTGGCCGAATCTTCCTTCAGGATATCAAGAAACCAGACTGTGATGACTGGGAGAGCAGGCTGAATGCAATGGAGTGTGCATTGCAACTGGGGAAAAGTGTGAATCAGTCACTACTGGAACTGCACAAACCGGCCTCTGACGAAAATGACCCCACTTGTGTAACTTCACTGAGACACGTTCCCAGAATGAGCAGGTGAAATCCATCAAAGAACTGGGTGACCATGTAACCAACTTGCACAAGAGGGGAGCCTCCAAATCTGGCCTGGCGAGTATCTCTTTGACAAGCATACCCTGGGTGACAGTGACAATGAGAGCTGCCTTAGGCTGACTTCCCCCTCGCACAGGGGACTTTCCTGGTCACCAGGGCAGTGCATGTATGTTGGGGTTTCCTTTACCTTTTCTGTAGTTACCAAAATATCCACTTAAGTTCTTTCATTTGTACCATTCTTCCAAATAAAGAAATTTGGTGGCTCGGCACCTGTGGCTCAAGTGGCTAAGGCGCCAGCCACATATACCTAAGGTGGCAGGTTCGAATCCAGCCTGGGCCTTCCAAACAACAATAATGGCTGCAACCAAAAAAAATAAATAGCCAGGCGTTGTGGCAGGTACCTGTGGTCCCAGCTACTTGGGAGGCGGAGGCAGGAGACTCACTTGAGTCCAGGAGTTGGAGGTTGCTGTGAGCTGTGATGCCATGGCACTTTACCCAGGGGGATAGCTTGAGGCTCTGTCTCAAAAGAAAGAAAGAAAGAAAGAATGAATGAATGAATTCCCCCCAAAACAAACCAACAAAAACAAAACTGCTATGAACATTCCTGCCAATATCTTTTGGTGAAATTGTGCTCCCACTTCTGCTGGACAGACACCTAGGATGGAACTGCTGGGTTGTAGGGAGTGTGTGTGTAGATACTGCCAGGACATGTTTGGACCCTCATGCACTCCCACCAACAGGGTAAGAGAGTTCCAAATCCCATCCTCACCAGCACTTGACATCCTCCGTCCTTTAATTTGCCAGAGGATGACTGGGTACAGTGGCTCATGCCTGTAACCCCAGCACTTTGGGAGGCTGAGGCCCAGGACTTGGAGGCTGCAGTGAGCTATGATAGTGCCACTGCACTCCAGCCTGGGTGATAGAACAAGACCCTGTCTGTAAAAAGAAAACATAATAATTTGCCAGAGGGAGGGGAGCTGAGGTGGTTTTCAATTTGGGTCTGAATCTCAGCTCCTACACCTAACTGTATGACTTCAACCAAGTTACTCCCCTCCATATACCTGAGTTTTCTCATCTGGAAAATGAAGTTCAGCATACTGCCAGCCCAAGGGTTGTGAAAATACAAAGATAAGACTTATCTGCTCAGTGTGTAGCACAGAGCTGTCTTTCATTTTCCATATCCTAATGCTTTGTAATCTGGGGCCTTGATGACCATGCAAAGACCACCCCTCCCAGGGTTAGCCAGTCTCTGGAGATAGCAGACCCTTGTTTATCAGGTCTCACACTTCACCTGCCCTAACCTCCCTAGGGCAAAGTACCCTCTACTAGGGACAGCCCCTATGTCCTAGAGCTCAGCTGAAATTATTCAATCCTAAACCTGCCTTCCCAGCCTTGCCTGTTCCTTTGGAAGCCACAATAAGTTTGCCCACAGTTTCTTTCTCTCTCTCTGCCTCAGGACTAACCCTCATATTTCCCTGGGTGACCTGCCAGGGCATGCTGTGTCCCTTTTCTTGAGAACTGTAACTACATTTTCAATGGCAATCTGGTCTGTGATCAGTTGGCCTTGTAATACAACTCACAGCCTCCAGGGTCCTACCCCTCCAGGTTATAAAGCCCCTCCAGGGTCCTACCACATTCCTGACATCTCCTTAGGGCACCTCAGAGACACTCAAGATAAAAGCCCCTTAGATAGCAGAGTGGTGACTATCAGAGCTGAAGCCCCAGGCACTAGAGTCTCCACACTTAAAAAAGTCTCCTGAGGGCGGTGCCTGTGGCTCAGTGAATGGGGCTCCAGCCCCATATACCACGGGTGGTGGGTTCAAACCCAACCCGGCCAAACTGCAACAGGAAAATAGCCGGGTATTGTGGTGGGCCCCTGTAGTCCCAGCTACTTAGGAGGCTGAGGCAGGAGAATCAGCTAGGCCCGGGAGTTGGAAGTTGCTTTGAGCTGTGTGATTCCATGGCACTCTACTGAGGGTGGTAAAATGAGACTCTGTCTCCACAGACAAAAAAAAAAAAAAAAGTCTCCTGAGCTGTGTTCTGCAAGATGTGGGTCCCCAGATATGGTGCTGTCCCAGGAAGAAAGTGCCCTGTGTTTATGTAAGTTTGGGAAATGCTGCCTGTTTCCACAGTGCTGATTGGAGTGCTTGTCCTACTGAGCCCAGACATAGCTTTTTAAAGTGTTAAGACATTTAATCCTCCACCCAAGTCACACAGTTCAAGCCCTCTTTGTACAGGTGGAAACACTGAGGCAGCCTAAAGTGCTTATCCAGGGGCAGAGCACAATGATGCTGAGCCGCGTGGAGGACCCAGACTTCCTCCTCACCATCCAGAACTCTGCCGGCAAAGGGCAGGAGAAACAGGGGAACCTTAGGGACAGTGAGGATTTCTTGGGGAAAAGAGAGCTAGCAAAACGATGGTGGGAGGAGGCTGCTCCACGTGCCCATGTGGCACCCAGGCTGCAGGGGTCAGGTGGGGGCTCAGAGGGAGGGGCAGGAGACAGAAATAGAGTGGAGGCAGCAGGCATGAGAAAGGAGGATGGAAAGAGAGATGGAGAAAAGCAGTCGAAGGATGTAGATGGAAAGAGGGAAACACACAGAGAAGAGGGGAGGGAGGGGACAGTGGGAAAGGCAGGCGAATGTTAGGGAACAACAGCAAGGCCAGTGAGCAGGACTAGCTAGCAGTGAGCGCTAACAAGGAGGTACTTGTGACCTATGTATCCAGAGACCCAGGAACAACAAGGCAGAAAGGATTGCGTACACCGTGAGGACACCCTGGAATATGCACTGGCAGGTCCGTATAAAGTTGTTCAGCAGGCCCACACCGAGGACCCAGCAATCCCTTTCCTGCTATTAACCTAGAGGCACGAAAACTGCTCACACAAAAACCTGTAGGTGAATGTCTATGTTGGCTTTTTTTTTTTTTTGAGACGGAGCCTCAAGCTATCCCCCTGGGTAGAGTGCCATGGCATCACGCTCACAGCAACCTCCAACTCCTGGGCTCAAGCGAGTCTCCTGCCTCAGCCTCCCAAGTAGCTGGGACTACAGGCGCCCACCGCAACGCCTGGCCATTTTTTGGTTGCAGCCATCATTGTTGTTTGGCGGGCCCGGGCTGGGGATTCAAACCCGCCACCTTAGGTGTATGTGGCTGGCGCCTTAGCCGCTTGAGCCACAGGCGCCGAGCCTATGTTGGTTTTTTTATTTATCATCTCTAAAAATCAGAACAACAGCAAGTGAATGATTAACAAACTGTGTACATCCAAGGAGACGGAGACGTTCCTCAGAGATAAGGAAGTAAACTGTTGATGTGTGGTGCTGAGTGAAAGAAGCCAGCCTCCCAAGGCTCCACTCTGCCTCATTCCACGTATACTGGCATTCTGGAAAAGGCTAGGACAGAAAACAGACCCGCAATGCCAGTGACTAGGGTCGACTACCAAGGGGCACAGCAGAATTTGGAGGTGATTGAAATGTTTTATGTATTATCCTGACTATAGTAGTGGTTATGTAAGATTTTTCAAAATTTGTAAACACCAAAAGAAAAAGAAACAAGGACAAAAAAGAGAGAGAGAGGAAGCTGGGAGCCGGGAGGTGGAGAGGAGGGAGCACAGGAAAGTGCCTTGAGTCTTAGGGAGCCTGCAGAAGTTGGTGAGGATCCCCCATTCAGCGAGGAGCCCTGTCTCTCACTGTTGGGGGACGTAGTCTCCGGAGGAAGGCATAGGGACACCCCTGAACCAGGCTGGAGTCCCCAAGATGGGCTGGACCAGAGCCCCGCCTCGAAGAACGCCTGCCCGCCCAGGTTCCGCCACCGGGATACTGGGAGGAAGGCGTTCCCATTGCCATGGAGACCGGCTTAAGCCGGTGAGAGTAGCTCTGGCCCAGCAAGCGGCGGGAGGAAGAGGCGGCCCTGGGGTCTTGGACTCACTGCAGGCCCTGGCCTATGCTGGGGGCCAGCCCACGCTCCCAGACACATCTCTCCACAGGGCCCCCGCTGTCAGCTCCCGGCCTTGCCTTAGTTGGGGAATCGAGGGGTTGGTGGATCAAAGGCCCCCCACCTGCCTCCTCCCCCTGCGGCCATGTTTATCACGGTGATGTTTGGAGGTGAGTGGGGTCCCCAGTCTCGGCAGCCAGGTGGGCGGATGGGACCTCAGAGGCACTTCCCTCTCGCTAGGGGAAGTTGGGGAGATAATGGCATAAAGAAGGGGTGCAGCTGCCGGCAGGGACGGGACGAAGGGTTGGGGAAGCGGCTGTGTGTGGAGGCAAAGCCTGGAGCGAGTCCATTGAGGGGAAAACCCGGGCTGATCCTCTGGGCTAGTGCCCGCCACGCCACCCGTGGAGCACGTTTTTAAACCGCAGAACCTCTTCCCCATTCAACAGTGGCCCTCTAGCTTCGGCGTGAACAGACCCACGAAGCTCCCACCACCATCGCAGTTTCCCCGCCCCCCCCCGGGGCGGGTCCGTCACCTGCAGGGGCGGAGCCAGCGTGGGAGGCTGAACGCGCGCGGAGTCTTTGGCCGGCCCTGCCACTTACAGCTCCCAAGATAGATGAGGGGGTCTTTCCGGCAGTTTAAACATAAGTTGCCAGAGCTGTTTCGCCTGGGGCACAGTCCTCGCCTATCCCCTACCCCCAGTTGCAGCTCTGGGAAGGGGAGAACGCGGAGGGTGAAGCAGAGGATCCCAGATTGAGGGGGAAGAGGTTCCACAAGTCACCTCTACCCCTCCCCCTACAGCCGGCTGCTGGGAGTTGGTGAATCCCTGGTGTAACCTGGTGACCCTCGCCGCTCACCTGAAGCAGAGGGGAAGTGTCCCCCCAGATGGTGAGGACACTGGGGAGGGGGCTAAGGAGAAGGGGCTAGGGGCCCCAGATGGATGGGCCAGCCCTGCCCTGCCTCTCTCCATGCCTTCCCAGCAACTATCGCTCTCCTGGGTGATGATGGGCATCTGGTGAGCCTGGAGGAGGACCTGGAAGAGGGGGCCGAGTGCATGGCCAATGCCATACTGCAGGAGCGGGGGACCTATATTCTCGTGCAGATCATCAGTAAGTGAAGCCCAAGACTCTCCCCCTGTGGCTAAGCTGGAACGTACAGGGGTACACAGCAGGCCACAGACTGCCCAAAACACTACCCAGCCACTCACCTCAGCTGGGGACCTATCCCCAACCAGTGCCACCCCAGTGCTCTGTCCTAGCCCCCAGCCTGCTCTAGGAGGCAGGTCCAGTGAGAAGCAGTCAGTCAGGGGTCCATCACCCTCTCTTCACACTCCACAGAGGGAGAGGATGGGGCTCCCACCCGCTATGAGTCCCTCCTGGAGAACCTAGATGACCAGTGTCCAGAGCTGGCAGGTGAGTGATAGGGGAGATCCCTGGGGGGGGGGAGGGGCTCATTTCCTCAACCCCAACCATCAGGGCTTCCTGGGCCTTCCAGATGAGCTGCGCTGGCTGTCAGGCCTCCCTCCCATGGGCCAGGACCGGAGAAGGCGCACAGGCACACGGCGTGGCAGGGAGCAAGGTCCCCCTTCAAGGTCTGGAAGGGCAGGCTCTCTGCCATCCAGGACTCGCTAGCTGGAGCCAGCAGCCAGGTATGGAGACACTGAGGGAGACACACCCAGAGTAGGACCCCTTCTGGGTGAATAGACACAATCAATGACAACTCTGGACACATATACCCCCATGACAGAACACACTGTACCTAGAGACAAGTCCCCATCACTCCATGCAGTGTAAATGCCCTAAGGGCAGGAATGTCCTCAGTGTTCCCAAGAGGTGTAAGAGGGCCCAGTGAGGGCCTGGTATGCAGTAAGTGCTCAGTGTACAATGTGGCAGCTCAGTGTGTGGTCAGGGGGCAGCCTGCCCTGGGTCTGAAGGGTCTGCTCCTCTGTTCAGGCAGGCCCTGGAACCTGTCACACCACAGCCAAGAGGCAAAGCTGGACTGGGACCCATGGGGGCTGACCATGACCTCTGCTTTATGTGGTCAGATGCAACAAACAGCAGCCCAGCAGGATTCCTTTTGCAGAATCTGGAATTACATTGCATTAGCAAGAAGGGCAAGGTCACAGAGAGGATATGAGGCCTCTGGGGGCCCCTAAGATGTGGGTGCAGAGAAAGGGCTCCAGAGTCAAGGACAAAAAGGATGGAGGACGCAATGCACCCCTGAAAAGGGGAGATAACAGGCTCCTCCCAGGATTCCAGACTCAGATATTCTTGGGGTCATGAGTTAATGCCTCACCACCCCACTTTGGACTGTCTGAGGCAGTCTGACCTCCGTGCAGATTACAACAGGGCTCCTTCCATCTCACCTAGGACATGACCTACAGTTAAGCAATCTGCACATGGGAATTAAACAACCATCCATCTCCCCGAACCCACCTCCTCAGCCAGGGAGCTCCTGGCAGATGGGCCAGCAACATGGCATAAAACAAGCTGTGGTCTAAAATAAATTCTTTAATTGCACATTTGTGTCTCGGGCTATCTGTGGGATAAGAAACCCCCTCCTCACTCCCAATCCCAGCTACACGGGTACAATCCGGCGTTGTGGTCCGGTTGTTGGTGAGGGGGTGGGAGACAGGCGCAGCCTTCTTCAGGGCAGGGAGCTCAGACCTGTGGAGGGAGGAGGTAGCACAGGCTGGTGGTCAGCTTGCAGTGCAAGAAGAGGGCCTGCCCACCACCTCCCCTGAGGATCCACTCACTCACCATGGTTGTACTTGCACTGTTTCAGGGCCTCACTGAAGCCTTCACACAGGGACAGGTCACTCTGAGTGGTTGAGCAGTCCAGGAACTGCCTGATCTCATAGGCACAAGGCCCCATCTGCAGGGGCTGGGACGCAGAGCTGGCAGGGGCCTGGGGGTACAGCACAGAGGCCACAGGGTTAACTCAGAGAAGGGAGGGTTCAAGGTGGGTTCCTAAGATGGGGGGCACCTGCCCCCCTATGCCCCTAGTTTGGGGGTCCCAGGAAGTATCAGTGACCCAGGCCTAGCCTGCCTGTCTAGCCTGGGCTGCTCCATGGGTGAAAGAGGTGAACCAGCAGCAGCTGACATAGACCATTTCTCTGCTGCCCCATAATGGGCACACTGGGCAGGTGCAGGAGAGGGAGAAGAAGGCTCTAGAAAAGTCCAGCACTCTTAGAGTATGAGCCCCACCCCCACAAGTTCTGGCACCTTCCTGGCTCAGCCACACTGATCCTCATGACCCTTAACCCAGCTTCTAAGCCCAATTTGGCTTAGGGATGGTGGGGAGGTCATCAGGGAAGTGGCTGCCCTTTGCCCCAGGGGCCACAGTGCTGGATCTAGATGTGGCCAATTAAATTTAACATCCCTCTCTTCTCTAGGGTTAGATGACCTTAGGCAGATCTCTGAGGACATGGGGGGGGGGGAGGCTGGTTTCCCTACCTTTAAATGATTGTTTGGTGTCTCTCCCTGGAAGCCTAGGGACCTTTGTCTCAAGGGAGGGCCTGGGAAGCCTGCTTTTAAGTGACAGCTCAACAGCAGAGTAATAGGACCCTCCTTGGGCAAAGTGCTGGGCTTATAGCAACTGTGAATACACCCAGACACTTCTCACTCGGCTAATTCAGCAGCTCCCTGTGTGGCCTTGAGAAAATCCTGCCTTAGTTTTCCTGGACCTGCTGCTCACCTGCTGGACAGCAGCCTGGGCGGGGGCGGACTCCGAGCTTCCCCCGCTGAAGGCTCCAGTCAGGGCACTGCCCACGACGTGTCCCACCGCGGAGCCTACGGCTACCCCTGCGGCCGTGGACGCCATCTGAGCCATGAGGCCCGGCTGGCCCGAAGGGGCGGGAGCTGGGGCGGCCGCAGAGTGGGGTGGGTGCGCAGGTGGGTGGGCAGAGTGCGCAGGGGGGCGGCTGCGGGGGGGCACAAAGAAGCACAGTTAATTCTCGCGGGACCTCTGACCAGGGACCCGAAGGGCCAGCAGCTCCTAGAAACAGCCTCCTCAGTTCCCGGCGAGGTGGGCGACCTGGGTCTTAAACACGTGATAATTGCACGCTCACCCCTCCCCCCGCCAAGATGGCGCAGTAGCAGCCAAGGTCACTGCGTACGCCTTTGGAGGGTGCTCACTCTTTCCAAGCCCCCTCCCCACAGTGCCCTTATCTCCCTCACACCTGGCTGGCCGGGCGGCCGCGCTGCGGCTCCCCCGAGGCATGGTGGCGGCGGTAGGACGCGGCTGAAAGTAGTCAGATACGCTGGGGTAGCTAGCACAACTGCAGCGCCTGTTACAGCGGGCTCAAAAAGCTGCGGCCTGGGGGCGGGGCCTCGGAGACACGCCCCTAGAGGGAGGTGGCACTTCCTCCAAACCCGTGCCTCCCGAGTTACCTCGCAAAAGCTCCTAGTGTCTGCGCAGTCTCAACCGGCGATAGGACCTTGATCCCTGTGTGCTCCCGACCCTGGTTGTGAAGGGCCTGGGGACACAGGCCCAGGCTGCCAAGCACTGGACTAAGGAATGGGCAACAGGACCAGGTTGTTCCACCACCGGAGTGCAAGGAGTAGAGTTGAGGATTGTCCCAAGCCTTGGCGGGGAGAGGAGACTGGGAGGTGACAGGCCGGCCCCTCCCCCAGGCCGGTTCCGCTCCCTGCTGGCTAGCACAAGACAGGGTTTGCTGACTACCCCGTGGCCTCAGGGATTCTGGTGGACTAGAGCGGGGACAAGCGGCCTGGAGCGACTCGTCCCCACAATCCCCACTAGGGGGCGTCCGGACCCCTCCTTGACTCGGCCAAAATGCGCTGCCGGCATCGACAACCTAGGGCAGCGTCCGCTGGGGTGCGATGTCACCTGCGATACCATTAACCACACCGGACCCCGCAGCTCAACTCGCCTGACTCCCAGGGTGCAGCGCCGCACACCCACAGCGTTTACGTGACTTTCAAGCCTGAGTTCCTTAGAGGCGTTGGTGCGTCTCAGGTCAAACCAAGCACAGGTTTGAATCCTGTGGCCTCAGGATTTTAGCACCTTGGTCCCTGGCCAATGGGAGGCTGTGGTGAGAATTTAGAACATTTCCCTGCCCTTCAGAGACTGGGGGTTTTTATGGTCTTTTCTGGATGACTGTGCAGCGATCATACTATTACCCCTAGGTAAGGGCAGGAAAGCTCTGTCTCATCATTGTCCAGTGTGTCACCAACGCCGCCTGGCACCACAATTGCGGGGAGGGTAAAATCACCAAGAGCAAAATCATCTGAGGAGCGGGGACGTTTGTCACTAAGCGGAGAGAGAAGGTCCTTCTGTGAGGAGGAGGGCAAATGGGCAAAGAGAGAAACCGCTGGATTATGGAGGGGCAGCTGTTCCTGGTCATTCTCAGCATACATGAAAGTCATGTGAACAACCCTGTTCTCACCACACTTTAATCCTTTCAGCCAGCCTGTGAAGTAGGACCATCCCTGACCCACCTTCAGTGTCCCCTTCACTGATGTTGACCACCCACCTCCAGAGTGGGCCTCCCAGTGAAGCCAGCATATGAAGGATGGGCTGTTCTCTCCTCCCCACAGGCCTGGTCCAGCAGCTACTTCTTGGCTTATGCAGTCCCTTACCATCTGTTTCCATATGCCAAACTGAGCCTTGTAGCTCATCAGGGTCCTCTTCCTGCAGGAAGCTCTCTGTGACCAGCACACCTTGCTGGGCACACTGTTGGCTTGGCAATGCCCCAGCCATTATTGGGGGTGACTGTCACTTCAGCTCTCATCGCTGGTAGCTTGCAGATTCCACAAGGCATGGCCCCTAGAGGCACTCAAGACCATTTAAGATCTTAGACAAAGAAATAGTTTTAACTAGCTACGCGTTTTCATGGATGCACATTTTCAGAAAAGTATACAAATAGCTCATCAAATCCATGATTTCTTGGCCACTATTGGTAAGATGAGGCAGAATTGGGCATCGAAGCGCCTACTTTTTAAAAGTGAGTCACTTTAGGGCATCACCTGTGGCTCAAAGGAGTAGGGCACCAGCCCCATATGCTGGAGGTGGCGGGTTCAAATCCAGCCCCGACCAAAAACCAAAAAAAAAAAAAAAAAAAACTGCCAGAAAAAAAGTGAGTCACTTTAAAGAAAAAAGATTGCCAACAGTCTGTCATGCCTATCCTTGACCTCTAGGAGTCTCTGTGGAGCCTTCCTGGAACAGCCATGAAAAACTCCCGCTTCCCTTTCTTGTTCCCGGCTGCCTGCCCACAACCTCACCTTATAGCGGCTCAGAACCCTGCCTGCCAGGATGGGAGCCATTGCCCAGATCTTGGCTCTTCATGATTGGAGCAGATTACCATGAAGATAGATTATAAGGCCCTTCACAATCGAGAGGGGGGATGTACAGCAGGATTGGCTACCCCCTTCAATCAGGGATGAAGCTGGAAGATTCCTTCCAAAATGTGTAGACCACCCTCTCCCATCCTCCCTCTCTCTCGGCCAGGGGACTCCTTGGGCCCCCAATGCCCCACTCAGACACCCTCTCTCCTCCTGACCAGCTAGAGGGCCTTCTGACCCCTCCACTTGCCATCTGACATGGAAAACTCAGGGCCCCTTCCTCTTGGAGCCTCTGTTTCCCCATCCATAAATCGTCTATGATTCTGTTCCAAACTGAGCAGCTGACTGTGCCTCAGTTTCCCCCAGGGGACACATTTTTATATCCCTTTCTTTACAGGGGCTATTAAGCCATCTTCCAGATGAATCAGTTGCTGCTCTGAGGAGTGGGAGAACTTGCCCTGGGTAGGACCACCTGTCACAGGCTAGCAGAAGGTCGGTGGTCAGGCCACCAAGGAGACACAGCGGAATGCACCTTTCAAAGGAGGGGGTGGCGGTATGAAACCCGACTCCTCTCAGAGTTACCAGGTTTAAAACTTTGGACGTCCTCCACACAGCGGGGAAACTGAGGCACGCTGCAGCCCTCGCTGTCCAGTCACGCAGCACTAGGCCTGCGAGGACAGGAGGCCGGCCCATTCCAGGACCGGTCCCTGTGTCCGGCCCGACCCAGTGGGGCCAGCCCCTCCCCGTCCACCTCCCCCACCCTGGCCGTGGTGGCAGGGAGAGTTTAGAACAAAAGGCGACGGGGGGCGGGGCCGGGGCGGACTGGGGGCGGGGCGGAGGGTATAAGCGGCGGCCGCCGGGCGCGGCCCTGCAGGCCCAGCAGCCTCGGGGCGGATGGCTCCGGCCGTCAGGCTCCGCGGCGCGGCCCCGCGCGCCCTCTTGCTCCCGCTGCCGCTGCTGCTGCTGTTGCTGCTGCTGTTGCTCCCGCCGCCGCCGCTGCTGGCCGGAGCCCGGCCGCTGGTGAGTGCCCGACGCCGGCCGGCCGCTTCTCGCGGAGGGGGCGCCAGGCACGCGGGCTGGGCCCAGCTGCCAATCTGGACCCACGGGGGCGCCCCGGGTGGCCTGACACGGCCGGCACCCGAAACGCTTTTTGGTTCCTCATGGGCGTGATAGTGAGCTTCCCGTCCCTGGGAGTGTGCAAGACGAGCGTGCGCTGGGATCGCTTGGCTGGTGAGCGGGACTCCACGCTGGGTTCACGCCCCCTCCCGGCGCTGGGACCTGCTTCTCGCCCGCCAGCAGCGGATGCTGGAATGTGTGCTGGGAGAGGAAGCAGAAGGAGTGGTTACAGGGCCCCCTATTCATCTCTGGGACAAAGCCGAGCAGGTCCCAGGCGGTGTCAGCCTGCAGGTGTATGGCGGCGATGAGCGCACCTCCAGGTGTGCAGTGGGATGAAGGATAAAGGCAGTGCCAGTGGGGCAGTGCTGTGCTGGAGGAAGTAGGGTCTGAGCCTGAAGGGGAGACACTGCCCCCGCGCACTTGCTGGCAGCAAGTTTGGGAGGGAGACTGGGAGCCAAGAGAGCATGAGACCTAGGAGTGTGGGTGGGACAGAGAGGTGGGCCTCAGAAAGAAGTGGGTGCTGAGAGTAGGGAGTTGAGACCCTCAGAGAGCAGAAGGGTGGTAAGATAATGTGGGGAGGAGAGAAGAAAGTGGAGAGGCTGTCACTGAGTATGTGTGCCGACTTGTGTTTGTCCCAACATTGAGCTGGGGTTCAAGGCACCACCAGTCACAGGGGTGCCCAGGCCAGTCTGCTCTGCAGCCGAGGTGTCCAGCCAGCTCAGCAGGGATGGGAGCATTGGAAGGTGACAGGCTGGAGTTCTGGGACTGGTCCGGGCAAGAGGGAGGGATGCAGGTTGGGGCCTCTGTCCAACCACACTGGCTTTGCCCTGGCCAACCTGTGCTAGTTATGAGAGCAGGAGGGACGGGATGGGCGTGATAGAGCAGATGGAGGGGTCACCTCAGTCTGGAGGCCCTGCCTCTTCCCAGCCCCTCTTGGTTCCCTAGGACCTGGACAGAGTAAAGAATCACCCTGGGTAGCTGTTGAATGCATGGGTGTGGGACTTGGAGGGAGCTGTGTTTGGACCCCATGACCTGGTTTTATGCCTTATGTCTCAGAACCTCACCCACGTCAACTGCAATGGAAAAGGGGGGAGAGGTAACAATGCCTGCTGCTGGGCATTGAAGATTAAAGGAGGTGATGCCTGGCACTGCAGACACTGTCAACTGTAGCTGCCACTCTGATGCTATTGCAGCATCAGAGTGGGCCTGTGTCTAGGGGCCAGCCTGGGGTGGGCTCTGAGCTTGGCTGTTGCCTGTCACTCTGCAGACACACAGGGAGCATTTGGGGTCACCTCCGATATGTTTATCCCTAGGTCAGCAGGGCCAGGAGAGCTCTGTAAATATTTATCCACCCCCAGTTCCCACCTTCCAAAGCTGTCTTCCCTTGTGAAGGCATCAGGGAAGAGAGAGGGAAGGTTTGGTGGGGAGCAGGTAACCCTGCTTGCTAACTGGCAGTGACTTGGGCAGGTTGCTTGATGTCTCTGGGCCTCAGTGGGGCAGGATACTGCATAGAATGGCATGGTGATGCTCGCATCTTCCTCACAGCCTGACCAAGTGCCCTCCCTTTCAGGCTCACCTCCGAACGACAGAAGGCACAGCTCTGATTAATTATCCCATTGAACAGATAGAAACAGACCTGGAGAGGGGCACAACTAGTCTGGTCTTACCTAGTGGTTTCCTAACCTGAGGCCCTCCCTATCTCCCCTCTGTCTGGTGCTGCCCACGGGCTGACCCTGAGGCTCTGAGCTCCTCTGCTAGGAGGCTGGGTCAGTGGAGAAATTCTTTGAGTATGTCTGAGGCTATGGCCTGGTGCCTGCCAGAGGAGGGCAGGGCTGGGCCAGCCAGGCATCCACCACAGGCCAGGTCAAGGGAGGGCACTGGCTGGGTGAGGAGGGAATGCTCTGGGAGCAGAAACACTTCTCAGGAATGTGGGATTTTTGGAGGTAAGCCAATGGGCAGGGTGGGGGGAGCTCCAGAGCAGGAAGCATGAGCCTCAGGACTAGGCCTTGCTCTTTCCTGACCTGCTGTGTGACCCTAAGCAATGTCCTTGACCTCTCTGGGCTCTGTTTCATCCTCTGCCCAATAGGGGGACACCTGTTCCCCAAACTCCCTAGGGCTATAGATGAGCCCAGGGGTGGTCTATGCCCACCACTTTGCCTCATGGAATCCCAGTATTCCTGGAGGGACTGAGTACACCCACCTTAGGAATCAGCAAGCTGTGCTGTGCCAGCTTCATGGCTAGGGCACCTGCCCCCAGGCCAGAAGGGACTCCAAAAGATGAAGTGTGGGAAATCAGTGAGGCAGGGAATATGTGTTCTATGCTAGTGATGGGGAACCTGAGGCTAAGAGCTGTTAAATGATGTACTCTAAGAAAAAAAATGTTGTGCACCTGCTGGAGGCCTAAATGCTAGCATCTCCTGTTCACTCCCTCTCTAAGATCAATGAATAGCTGTGGAGAGGGAGCAAGGGGCCTCTGACTTGCTGGGAGACCCTGCATGAGGAGCTTTTCTTGTCTGGGCCTGGAAACTCTTCTAACTGCAACTTCTGTTTTGCCATTGTAGTCTGGAGATTTGGTGGGGGGGCGGGGGCTGGAAGTGAGGTGGGTGGTAGGAACCATAGCGATTGCTGACTGGGAGGACAAGGAGTAGGGCAGGTTGAGGTACTTCTCTGCCTTTGTGCAGCAGAGCATAGGCCCGGCACCCAAGACCTGGCTTCCAGCAGAGGCAGTTCTGCTCACACCCCGCCAGGGCTGGGTGCACAGCAGGAGCTAGCTCTGTGATCTGCTTGTCCCCTTCATGCACGGAGGATGGGGGCAGCCAGTTATCATGACATGCTGCCTCAGAAGCATGTCATGCGGCCCTGTGCTGGGGCACCACCCCCATTTGACAGATGGGGAAGTTGAGGCTAAGAGAGGGCAGTGACTTGTCCAGAGTCACCATGGCATAGAATGGGTAGGCCATGAGCGCAGTGCTTTCCACCAGCTGTTACCAGAGCAAGTCGCTTGGCCTCTCTGGGATCCATTTCCTTATCTGAGAGGTGAGGGCCCTGGCCTGCAGCAGTGATAAATACTAACAATAAGCCCAGATTCGGCTGGAATCCACATGCCGTGGGGCTACCTCTGCCAGATTACCACGCAACAAGCAAGCTCAGGAAGCAGGGGGAAAATTGTTCCCCCTTAATAGTTCCATAGCCCCCACCATCAGAAGAACCCTTCATGTTGGGGTGTTTGTGGGAGTTGAAACTTCAGTTCAGGATCTGGAGTTTGGAGGCCTGGGATGCTGACCAGAGCCCTGGGGCATCTGGGGCCTGGGACAGCTGCCAGAGGCTGAGAGTGAGGCGGGGCCTGAGTAGCCCGGCTCCTGCCCCAAATATGGCTGTGGGGAGGCTGCAGTTGACCAGAAAGGTGCTGAGTTTCCCAGCAGATAGCACAGGCCTCAGCTTTAGGCCTGGAATGCCAAGGTCCTGCTACAGCCTTGCTGGGTGAGCTCACAGGGTCTCCCACCTCTCTGAGCTTTTGTTTTCTTGGTAAGAACTCTGACTTCTGCCCTGGGGACTTGGAAAGGGTAGGAGGATGTAGCTTAGGTCAGAATGCCCTCTGCGCTGCTGGTGCTTCAGCAGGTGGGCCTGGGTGCCTAGTAACTGGCTGCTCCCATCCTTCCTGCATGAAAGGGACAAGCAGATTACAGAGCTAACTCCTGCTGTCACCCAGCCCTGGCAGGGTGTGAGCAAAACTACCTCTGCTGGAAGCCAGGTCTCAGTTACCCAGTGCCCTTCCCAGGTGCCAGGCCTGCGCTAAGTGCTCCATACACATCACCTTGTCTAGTCCTCACTCACCACTGGTCAGGTGAGCAAACCAAGGCCACACCACAGGGCAGCAACCCCTCCATGCTGGGGGAGAAAGGGGAGAAAGGGGACGTCCTGGACAGAAGAGATGGCAGAACCTGCTCACGTGACCAAGGGGGCAGACGGGGGTGACGCGGGTGTGCTTCAGCTTAGCAGACACAGGAAGAAAAGGAGGTGGAAATGAGTTTCCAGGGCAGGCAAGGGTAGGGGCAGCTAGTTACCAGGTACCCAGGCTCCTGCTAAAGCCCCAGGAGCACAGATGGCTCCTGTGAGGAAAAGCAGGAAGATCATGCCTGGTGTTTCCTTGGGAGCTTCATTGGGTCTATTCCTGGTTGTGTGTGGAAAATACAGTCAGCAGTTCATAGGCAGTGTACCCCTACACAGATGTCACCGGCCTGAGTAGCTGGAATAGGTGACAGGCAGCCCAGGGCCCTCTAGGATGGGGTAGGGAGGCAGCTTGGTGCCTTGGAATAAAGTATCAAGAAACCAGAGAGTTAGCTCAATGCCAGAGTCCTGCAGGGTGCTCGAGCCCTTCCCTCCCTGTGTGCCCAGCCACCCAGTGGGCTGGGGCTATGCATAGTGTGCTGATGGGCCACACCTCCAACCACAGGTCCCAAGACCCCAAGTCCTGACCAGGCACTCTCTCTCGTGCCCAGGATGCCCACCGCCACCCCTCTGTGAGGAAGGGGCAGCAGCCTTGGCATGCAGCTCTGTCCAGTGGTCCGGCACCCGCCTCTGCCACCCAGGAGGTCCCCTACGCCGCCAGCGGCCCCAGGCCTCCCCGCTGCGGTGTGCCTGACCCACCTGATGGGCTGAGTACCCGAAACCGGCAGAAGCGGTTTGTGCTGTCCGGTGGGCGCTGGGAGAAGACGGACCTCACCTATAGGTAGGGGCTACCTGTGTGTAGTGTGTGAGCCTGCCACTGTCACAGCTGCTGCTTGAGACACACCAGGGCCAGATCTGTGTGGCTAATGGACCTCTGTGCCTATTGAGCCCCCAGCCATCCACAGAGCAGCACCCTAAAGCCCCAACTCAGACACATATGCAGATAAAACCCCCCATAGCTCTCAGCAGAGGGGAGTGTTTTATGTCATAACCTGAAGAGTTTCAGCTTGTGTTCAGAGACCGGCGTTCAGTCACCCAGGCAGCCTTTCCTGGGTGGAGCCCAGACTCCACACAGGAAGCAGACACAGCCCCACCCTCTTGAGGAGGCAGGCACATCACTGTCCCACTTGAGCTTGGTTCAGGTGGAGATGGTGGGGAGGAGCAGACTCCTCACTGGGTCACCAGGGAAGGCCCAGGGCAGGTGACAGGGAGGCTGAGGCTCACATGTCCTGCAGATAGCCACTTAGCTTGAGAGGGAAGAATGATCTGGTGTCACACTGCATTGGAACTAAGACTGCAGGGTCCTCAGGAATTTCCTGGGTGGGGACCTGGGAACCAAGAGAGGGCTCAAGGGGTCGAGGTCTCCCCACGGTGAGCAGTGCTATCAGGTCTAGAATGTAGGTCTTGGATCTCCTGGTCCTGTTTTTTTTCCACCAAATGCAGACACATGTACACACCAAGTACACCCAAACCCACATGCAGATGTGTCTGCATGGCCAGGGAGAATGATGTGCTGCACCCAAGGCCCAGAGTGCACCTGGCCTGTGACCCCAGTGTACATGCACCCACTGAGCATTTAGGGGCGGGCAGCTCCTGACCCCTCAGCTATCAAAGGCTGTCCAGCCCCGACACCCAGGCCCCTCCAACTCCCCCCAGGATCCTCCGGTTCCCATGGCAGCTGGTGCGGGAGCAGGTGCAGCAGACAGTGGCAGAAGCCCTGCGGGTGTGGAGTGAGGTGACACCACTCACCTTCACTGAGGTGCAGGAGGGCCGTGCCGACATCATGATCGACTTCACCAGGTGATATGGCAGCGTGAGACCCCTCCAGAAACAGCCCCACCAGCCAATAGCCACTGACTCTGCCCCCACCCACCCATAGGTACTGGCATGGGGACAATCTGCCATTCGATGGGCCTGGGGGCATCCTGGCCCATGCCTTCTTCCCCAAGACCCACCGAGAAGGGGACGTCCACTTCGACTATGATGAGACCTGGACTGTTGGGGACAACCAGGGTATGGGCTGGGAACCTATTTTCCAGATGGGGCAACTAGAGATCATAGAGAATGAGCACTTGCCAAGGTTCCTGAGCTGGGGTCTGGAGCATGGGTGTCTCATGGCAGGAGGCCTAGGGGTTGCTGACCCAGCTCCCTTCTCTAGGCACAGACCTGCTGCAGGTGGCAGCCCACGAATTTGGCCACGTGCTGGGGCTGCAGCACACGACAGCAGCCAAGGCTCTGATGTCCCCTTTCTACACCTTCCGCTACCCACTGAGCCTCAGCCCAGATGACCGCAGAGGCATCCAATACCTATATGGCCAACCGAGGCTTATCCCCACCTCCAGGGCCCCAGCCCTGGCCCCCCGGGCTGGAGTGGAGGACACCAACGAGATTGCACCACTGGAGGTGAGGCTTGGGAGGGTGGGAAGTCAGGAGGTGGGGACCTGCCCCCAGCTCCTGCCCCCTTCCCTTGCTGGCCTCTGAGGCTGCAGCGTGTGCCCTCAGCACGGGCCCCCTCTCCCCTCAAGCCGGGAGCCCAGCCAGATGCCTGTGAGGCCTCCTTTGATGCAGTCGCTACCATCCGAGGCGAGCTCTTCTTTTTCAAGGCAGGCTTCGTGTGGCGGTTGCGTGGGGGCCGGCTGCAGCCCGGCTATCCTGCGCTGGCCTCTCGCCACTGGCAGGGACTGCCTGGCCCTGTGGATGCTGCCTTCGAGGACGCCCAGGGGCACATTTGGTTCTTCCAAGGTGAGTGGAGGTCAAGAGTCTGCTCAAAGGCCTTCCTAGAGGCAGAAATGTCATGCCAAAGGAAGGGACAGACAGATGGATCCCCAGGGATACAGCGGGCAGGGAGAAGGTGCTCCAAAAGCTAGGACAACTGGGGGGCTCCAGAGGAAGCAGCTCTTGAGATGGACGCAGCACAGATGGTTCTTTACATCAGGCTATGCATTGGCAAGTCCAACCCACAAAGCCACCTCACAGGCTGGGTGCTAGAGATGAGGCCTCTGGGGCTCACGGCAATGAAGTGACTCACCAAGGCTGCAGCTTGGAAAAGGTGGAGCAGGAATTTTATCTAGGTCTGTGCCCCTGGAGCTGGCAGAGACAAGCACCTGGAGGCTTCCAAGTGCCAGAGGCTTAATAAACAGAGGTGTGGCATGGGAAACCTGCATGTGGGTCCCGGGCAGCAAGGACCCGGGGAATAGCCAGTGGACATTTGTCACAAACAAACAGATGCCAGAGGAAGGGAAAGGGCCCAGGCAGTTCTCTGCTGATTAGAGTACCCCACTGCACCCCAGCCCATCCTAGCTGGCTCCCACTCCCTCTAGGGGTAGGATGCTGAGCACACATTATTGTCCCTTTGTTTTATGGACAAGGAGAGTCAGGCTCAGAGCCCATGGTGGTGGCTGGGCGTGGCAATAGTGGCTTGGCAGCTCCTTGCAGCCTCCCTTCTCTGGCAGGTGCTCAGTACTGGGTGTACGACGGTGAGAAGCCCGTCCTGGGCCCTGCGCCCCTCTCTGAGCTGGGTCTTGTGGGATCCCCAATCCATGCCGCCTTGGTCTGGGGTTCCGAGAAGAATAAGATCTACTTCTTCCGAGGCGGAGACTACTGGCGTTTCCATCCCAGTACCCGGCATGTGGATAGTCCAGTGCCCCGCCGGGCCACTGACTGGCGAGGGGTGCCCTCTGAGATCGACGCTGCTTTCCAGGATGCTGATGGTGTGTTGAGGGTGGTTGGCGGGAGGTGGGTGCAGCAGTAGCTGCATGCCCTGCCCAGAGGTGGCTGGGGCCCCTCACACCCACAACGGTAGGCCCAGCTCTTCCTCACAGGTTCTTGGCCTAGTGCCATCTGCCCTCCTCCTGGTGGCCAGGTAGTTCTTACCCCTTGTGTTGCCGATGAGGAGACTGAGGGCCAGAGAAGTGCAGAGTGTTGCCCCAGTCCCTTGGTTACAGCCAGGAAAATAATATCAGCTAGGCTCTGAGGGCCAACAATGCTCCAGGCATGGCTCTAAGCTCCTTACAACTCCTGTGTACTTCTCTGAACAGCTTTCTGACCTGTTAGGAAACCAGTTTCTGGAGGAGCAAACAGAGGATCAGGCAAGGAGGCCCCTAACCAGGGCCAACCAGGTGGATGGTGGCAGAGCCAGGACTCTCACCCCGGCCCTTGCTCATAACCACTAAACCATCCAGCCTCCCACAACTGCAAAGGATCAGAGCCAGTTGAGGACTCACAGTCCAGTGCTTTTGCCCCTGCTAGCTCCTCCTTTGCTTCTCCCCCGCATTAGGTCCTGCTGGGAAAGCTGTCCTGGGGTGGCCTCAGGCTCCAGGACTCCAGGACGCCCATCTGTAGTTGGGTTGGTGGGTGTAGGAGAGAATGACATGGAGGGCAGTGAAGGCTGTGCTATTTGCTTTCTTAAGAGGTAGGACTTGGGCCACTGAAGTTCCGAAAACTATAAGGTAGAGTGTTAGTACAGACCAGACCCTGGGGCAGGCAGAAGGGCTCCATGGAAAGAAGAGAGGTTCTGGAAGGCCCAGCAGTAGCTAAAGACTGCCCACTTAGCTGCCCCCCATGCCCATCCCTGGGCACAGCTGGCAGGCAGGCATGGGGCCTACTGTCTGCCCACTCAGACCTGACCTTGTTCTCCTCTCAGGATATGCCTACTTCCTGCGTGGCCGCCTTTACTGGAAGTTTGACCCTGTGAAGGTGAAGACTCTGGAAGGCTTCCCCCGTCTTGTGGGCCCTGACTTTTTCAGCTGTGCCGAGCCTGCCAACACTTTCCTCTGACCACAGCTTCAATGTCCTCAGGGATGCTGACCCCTGCCAAGCCACAGATTTCAGGCTAGAGATCCACAGCCATCTTTATGGCTAGAGGCACCAAGCACAGGACCAAGCCCGTGTCTCCTCAGTGGGGTGGGTAGGGGTATGAACACCATGACAACTGCAGGGAGGGCCATGCGGGTCGTGGTCACCTGCCAGCAACTATCTCAGACTGGGCAGGGAGCCTTTGGCATTACTTAAGAGGGAAGGCAGTCTGGGGCTGGCTCTGCACCACCTGTGCAGGCCCTGGTCAAACTTGGCTACTCTCGATGTTTCTGTCTCTGAGGGTAGGACTTTGACAGGCCTGGGAGAACCAAAGTGTCTTCACTTACTCCCTGCTGTGAGGTTCCTGCCAGGAGTTGGTGCTGAGGCAGTGGTGCCAGGCCCCTAAGGCTTTCAACCCTGGTTGAGCAACTAGGCCATGGGGCAGAACCCTCTCCTGAGAAGTGAGCTCTGAGTAGATGCATGCATCTGGCTGTCTTTCAGCTCCTGATGCTGGAGCTCTGTTCCCCAGGATGCAGGCCAAAAGGCCCACAGGCAGCTGGGGAGGGGTGTTCCTGCAGGAGACCCGAGGCCCTGGAGGCCCCAACATACCTCAATCCTGTCCTGGATCCTTCTGAAACCCTCACCCCAGCACTGCTGTCTTCCAAAGCCATGTAAATGTGTGTACAGTGTATACAAAGCATTTTTTTTAAAACTGAGGCTGTCATTAAACACAGTTGTTTTCTACCTGCCTGTCTGGTCTCTGTGACTATGCAAACAAGATGGTGAGACCTGGTATGAGTACAACCCTACCCTAGAAACCATTGTTGAACCCCCCCCACCCACCCAAGTCCCCGGCCTTTGGGGCTGGGCACAAAGCTTGGAGCTCCTCCTGCCCCATCCCCCAATCACATTTCACAGACATTTGCAGCAGCTTCCTTTTTTTTTTGTAGAGACAGTGTCTCGCTTTATCACCCTAGGTAGAGTGCCATGGTGTCACAGCTTACAGCAACCTCCAACTCCTAGGCTTAGGGGATTCTCTTGCCTCAGCCTCCCAAGTAGCTGGGACTACAGGCGCCTGCCAGAACACCCAGCTATTTTTTTGTTGCAGTTTGGCCGGGGCCAGGTTTGAACCCACCACCCCCGGTATATGGGGCCGGCGCCCTACTCACTGAGCCACAGGGGCTGCCCGTTTTCTTTTTTTTGAGACAGAATCTCACCCTGTTGGCCCAGACTAGAATGCCATGGAGTCGTAGCTCCCAGCAACCTTACACTCTTGGGCTCAAGCGATCCTCTTGCCTTAGCCTCCCTGAGTAGCTGGGACTACAGGCGTGCACCACCATGCCTGGCTAGTTTTTCTATCTTTTTCTTTTTTAGTAGAGACGGTCTTGCTCTTGCTCAAGCTGGTCTTGTGATCTACCTGCCTTGGTCTCCCAGGGTGCTGGGATTACAAGAATGAGCCACTGCACACTGCAGCGGCTTCTTAATGGCTCCCTGCTTCCTTCCGTTAATTTTCAAGTGGCGGTCATTTTATCTGATCATGTCACACCTCAGCCCCATTGTATAGTACAGTCAGCCTTCCATATCTATGGGTTCCACATCTGTGGATTCATGGAACTGTAGAAAGTATTGGAGGAAAAAAAAGAAGTTGTGTCTATACTGAACATACTTTAATTTTTCAACAGTACAGTTTAATCATTTACACGGTATTTACACTTTATTAAGTATTATAACTAGACTTAAGGTATTATACACAAGGGCATATGTGTAGGTTATATGCAGATTATTACACCACTTTATATTAGGGAGTCCTGGAATCAATCCCCATGGACACCTAGGGAGGACCATACTTTGATTTGCCGCTGCTGTGGAAACCACAGAACAAAACTCATGGCCACCACAGTCCTTCCTAACTCCCCAGTGTCTTCACAGTAGCACTTATCTCTGAGGCAGTTCCATCAGACTGTACCCATACCAAATTGTTAGTAATGGGCTGTCTTTGTTTCACTGCATGGTTAAATTTGGTACCTGAATTACTTTGCTTTGATCCTTCAGTAGCTGTGGTCTCCACTCTCAGCTGTAAGTGACAAGGGACAGAGCCTCAGGGCAGGGCTGTGCTTATAGAGAATGAAGGTGTCCCTCCAACACTCATGTAATGCACTTGTCACACCAAATATGGGTACCACCTGGGCCTTTGAAAACTGCCAGTCCCCGTTCAGTGTTGTCATTCTGCCCATCTCCACTGCTTTAGGAACAGCTGTAGACTGGACCTGGGGTCTCTGTTCTCCTCTTATCTGCTGAGCTGCCCTATGTTTTCGAAGGAGAAAACTGAGGCACCGGCCTGGGGACATAAGGTTCGTCCAGACCATTCAGGTTTCCACATGTGGCTCTGTCCTCTTGGCCTTCCGGCCTTACTTTGTTTCTCCTCTCCTGGGCTGGGTTCTAGTTCTGACTGTAAGACTGAGAGAGCCACCGCCTGAGTCAGGGCCTCACTGGCTATTTTCGTCTGTGAGAAGCTTGCGCCTATACCGCGACTTGGGAGGTCGTCTAGGAGGACGAGAAACTAGTCGTGGCTCCTTTAAGGGGGAAGCGACGGGCCTTTTGTTTAGGCGGCGGCGCGCGCGTCGGCGTCAACGCTCGCGCCTGCGCACCGAGGGCGGCCTGGTCATCGTCTGCAGCGGCGGCTGAAGAACCCGGCGGACACGCGAGCCTTCAGCTCGGCCTGCACTTCGCCTCCCGGCCTAGGTTCCCCTTGGCCCGGCGCGCCCCGGCTCCGCCGCAGCCCCCCCCCAATCCCTTGCAGCCCGGCCCCGGCCACCCGCCTTCACCGCCGTAATGATGATGATGGCGCTGAGCAAGACCTTTGGGCAAAAGCCCGTCAAGTTCCAGCTGGAGGACGACGGCGAATTCTACATGATCGGCTCCGAGGTAGCCCGCGGAGCCTCCCGGTCCTCTCTGGGCCCAGCCCCGTGGGAGGCCCGGGGCGGGTCTGTCCGCCGGGAGCGCGCATCTCCATTCATCTCGGCGGGCGGGGGCGTGCGTAAGGGGGGGCGTGATGGAGGCGTGGTCTAGGGCCGGCCTGTGGCCCCGCCCCCAGCTCGGAGAATTGGCTTTGCTCACCCTACTCGCCTGTCCCGGGTGGGGTTTACGGCGCAGCGAGAGCCCACTGGTTCCGTGCTGAGTTGGTATTGCTCCAGCCGGACGCAAAGATGGGCGTGTTCGGTTAGCCCTTGCGGTGCAGCTTCGGGGCTGCACTATTACCCCTGGCCCTTCTGAGATGTTGCACATCTCATGTGCACCCCACTCCCCGTGACTACTTGTAGGACTCTGAAATCGCAGGTTGGAAACCGGGGCTTAATGAAGGCTCAGCCCCATTGGATTGTTGTGGCCACTGAGGTTGGCAGTGGAGGTGTTTTGACCTTTGTTTACCAGTGAAGGTAAACAGACTGGGAGAAGATGTTTGCTTTGGAGTGTGTAAGGCCCCCAGTGCCTGAGCTAGATCTTTCAGCAGTTATGAAGCAATGACATTTCGGATATCTGTAAACTGATTGTGAATTATTACAGGGGAACAATCCTAAGGATCTTTAATCTTTAGCTAGAGTGGCAGCACGTTATTGAATCAGCTAGACCCCTGACTGTAGGAAAACCCTACCTGGCCCTTTGGTGGGTGTTTGTTCTAAGTGTATTAAGTTCTAAGTGTACTGAGTTTTTACTGTTTTAAAGGGTCCCCAGCTAGTGTATGTTCCTTAAAAAAAAATTATGGTTATACAATGGCAATTGTATAGATTGTGTAAATTGTACAGATGTGCAAATGGCAAGCAATAGGGTTTCTCATGTGAGGCGGTAAGTACCAATCCTGGTAAATTAAAGCTGTTACAGAATGCCAAGAATTCCTTCTCCATGTAGCAGTTTTTAGTATTGTACTCCAACACTTCATGTTTTTACTTTTAGGGGTTTTCTTGACAGTCCAGCGTAGTGTGAATGAATAAAGCCTCAGGATGTTCATGCGGAGGCTTTCAAGGCACCCTGTAATTCCTGTCTTGTGTTAGTTGTGTCAAGCTATGACACCAATGTTGTCAGTAGCATCAGAACTTCAATGTTTGCATTGCATTTTCCCTGTTTTCTTTTTTTTTCTTTGTAGAGATAGGGTCTTGCTTTGTTGCCCAGGCTGGTTTCAAACTCCTAGCCTTAAGCAAGGTCCCCCCACTGTGCCCCAGCCTCCCACAGTGCTGAGATAACAGGTGTGGGGCACCATGCCTGGCCATGTATCCACTAAGTTAAAAATTTTTTTTTTATTTTTTTGAGGCAGAGTCTTGCTCTGTTGCACCCTCCCAGTCCTTTCTGGGCCCAGCCATGTGGTAATCCTGGGGTGGGTCTGTCAGCTGGGACAATGGTCTCCATTCATCACAAGGGGCCAGGAGTGCGCAGGGCCTGGGCTTGATAGGGGTGTGATCTAGGGCCCGCTAGGGTGCTGTGGTGTCAGCCTAGCTCACAGCGACCTCAAACTCCTGGGCTCAAGTGATCCTCCTGTCTCAGCCTTCCAAGTAACTGGGTCTACAGGCATGTGCCATAATGCCTGGCTAGTGTTTTCTATTTTTAGTAGAGATGGGGTCTCACTCTTGCTCAGTCTGGTCTTGAACTCCTGAGCTCAAGTGATCCTTCTGCCTCAGCCTCCCAGAATGCTAGGAGTATCCACTAATTTTTATAAAACAAAAGGGGCATGATATTTACTTTAATCACTTACGTACTGCTGTTCAAAGGTGGCTGTGCTTGGGAAATGAAGCCAGTGCCTGTCCATCTGCCGCAGCTCAGAGCGGTCCTCATCAGCTGGTAGGCACCTACCTAATGGGATGCAAAAGGCACTTGAGCATGTAACTGGGAGATTGTTCAAAGAAACCTTTACCTGATTTAATGGGTGGAAGAGTAATCAGATTGGGTTTGTTTCTGAGTGGGTGATATCTTTGAAAAGAAAGCTTTCATTTATTAGGTGGGGCAAATTGAGAAGCAACACTTGGCCAGGTGGGAAGAACTTCAGGAGGCCTGGTTCCACCTCCATGTCACTTTTCACATGTGTATAGGGAGATGCTTAACCTAGATGGCCCCTAGGATCTTCCCCCAAACACATTTTAGGTTCTAGAAAGCTAACTACTATATTCTCTTTCAGCCTTTTACCCCTTGACATGCACTGCATAATCCTGAGACCCAGACAGAGGCAGTTTGCGCTCTTGGGCCTGACTTAACAGTCATCAGACCTTTGGAGTTTAGAAGGGTTCAAGATCAGAGAACCTTCTATTGGTATCTGGTAGCTCCTGTGACACTGTTGGGTGGATGGTCCCTGGCCCCTTTCCCTGGGGAAATAATCTCTCTATTAAGAGGTGAGCCAGGCTAAGGCGCCAGCCACGTACACCTAAGGTGGCAGGTTCGAATCCCCAGCCTGGACCCGCCAAACAACAATGACGGCTGCAACCAAAAAAATAGCCGGGCGTTGTGGTGGGCGCCTGTGGTCCCAG